CATGCCCGGAGGAATGCCTGGGGCTCCTGTGCTGGTAGAGCCCCTCCCTCCGGTGGTGCTTCCTCTGGGCCCACCACTGGAGAGGTTGATTAAGCCAACCTTGAACATAGATTTAGCATTGTTCCACACAAAATATTGAAGGACTCAAATTTGTAGCAGATTCCATGAAGTTTTTTTTTTTTAATGATGAGCATAGTATTTAAATTTTTTCTTTATTGATTTTTAGAGCGAGAGGAAGGGACAGGGAGAGAGAGATAGAAACATCAATGACAGAGAACATCAATTGGCCACCTCCTGCATGCCCCCCTGACTGAGAATCCAACCAGGGACCTCTTGGTGCATGGGTCAACGCTCAACCACTGAGCCACTGAGCCACACGGCTGGGCTTCCATGCAGTTGTTTTTTCTTTTTAAATCTTCACCAGAGGACCTTTTGCATTTATCTTCAGATAGAGGTAGAGAGGGAGGAAGAGAGAAAGAGAGAGCGAAACATCAATGTGAGAGAGACACATCAAGTGGTTGCCACCCACACGACCCCAACCGGGGCTGGGGACAAACCACAACTGAGGTACATGCCCCTAGCAGGAACCAAACCCAGGACTCTCTGGTCCACGGACCAACACTCTAACCACTCAGCCAAACCAGCCAGGGCTTCCATGCAGTTTTAAAAGTTGAGTAGCTGCATAGTAAATGACTGGGCCTTCTTTTTTTTTTTTAATCCTCATCCAAGGACATTTTTCCATTTTTTTGTCCATCATCCGAGGATATCCAAGGGAGGGAGAGAGGGAAACATCGATGTGAGAGGGACACAGAGAGTGGCTGCCACTGGCACAACCCAACCAGGGCCAGGGACAAACTGCAACCGAGGTACCTGCCCTTAGCGGGAACCGAACCCGGGTCTCTCCGGACCGCAGGCCGACGCTCTAACCGCTGAGCCAAACTGGCCAGGGCTAATTTGGGACACTTTTAAAAGGGTGCTTTGTGTTTGTAATTATCTTTGAAGATTCTGCAAATAAAATTGCTGCTAAATTAATCATTTTATATGATTAAAAAAAAAATTCTTGCCCTGGCTGGTGTGGCTCAGTTGGTTGAATGTCATCCCAAGCACCAAAAGGTTGCCAGCTCAATTCCTGGTCAGGGTTTCGGGCTTGAGCCCCAGTGACGGGTGTGTAAGAGGCAGTCAATTGATGTTGCACTCTCACATCGATGTCTCTCTCTTTCTCCCTTCCTCTCTCTCTAAAAATTAATTTAAAAAAAATAATAATTCTTCAAAAATCCCCCTTTTAGAGTTGCAGCAGGACCTGTCTCCTTTAAATAAAGATTAAACCCATGAGAGTGAACTCACCTTGAAAAAACTTGCATAGCTCTGGCCAGTTTGGCTCAGCGGTTGGAGCATTGGCCTGCGTACCAGAGAGTCCTGGGTTCGGTTCCCGCTAGGGGCACATACCAAAAGAAAGAAAGAAAGAAAGAAAAAACTTGCATGCATAATGGAAAAACATAAAGAAAACTATTGCATACTTTCCCCTTATTCCTTATAAAATATTCTTGGTTCTGCATTATTAAGGCAATTAGTGGGCTTTTACTTAGATTATTAAAACTAAACTTTATTCTGTAAATATATTATCCCTCTGTTTCAGTAATTACTGCCACATAACAAACCACCCCAAAATTTAAAAGCTAAAACAAACAGCCATTTATTTGCTCACGAATCAGCAACTTGGGCAGAGCTTGGCATGTTCAGCTAATCTCTACTGGGGTGACTAGATTGGGGCTAAGAATGCTTACTGCGGCTCCTCAGCTGGGGTTGGCTGTGAGATAGGTACCCCCCATAGTCTCTCCTACAAGGTAGTCAAACTTCTTTACATCACAAATGGTTCTAAGAGGGAAAAATGGAAGTCACAAGGCTGACGCCTAAAAGTCATGTGATACCACTTCTGGTCAAAGCAAATTACAGATTCAAGGGCAAGGAAAAGAGAGATGTTCCCTCTTGGTGGAAGCAGCAGCCTGCAGGTGAGGTCTGGTCTACCTTTTTTTAAAATCCTCACCCAAGGATATGTTTTTATTGATTTTAGAGAGAGGGGAATGGGGACAGAGAAAAACATCGAGTATGCTCCCTGACCAGGAATCAAACCCACAACATTTTAGTGTAGAGGTCGCTGCTCCAATGAACTGAGCCACACCTGCCAGGGCATACTTGTTTGATCTCAAAGGGAACGAAAGGTATAGCATAAACCCAGGCCTTCCTTCTCTTTTCCAAGTTCACAGAGGGAGAGTGAACCACATGGTCTAATAAAGCTAATTCAGCACTGGCCTGTGTTGTTCAGTGGTTAGAGCATCGGCCCATTCACTGAATGGTCGCAGGTTCATTCACAGTTAAGGGCACATACCTGGGTTGCAGGTTTGATCCCCAGCTCCTGAGGGTCATGGGGGAGGCAACCAACTAATGTGTGATGTTTCTTTCTCTCTCTCTCTTTCCCTCTCCCTCTCCTTCCCTTCTACTCTCTCTAAAACAGCAATGGAAAATATATCCTCAGGTAAGGATTAACAACAACAACAAAAAAGAATGAATTCATCCAGACACCTGCCCCTGGGCCTGCAATATGGAATTAGAAAACAATATCACCTTGAAATGCTTTGTAGAAAGGCAGGTTATAATCATGGAAAGGGCCCGACTGGTGAATCAAGAGACCTTAAGTCTGGGCTGGCCTCTGCCACATAATAGCTGTATTATGAAAAAATCACGGACAAATCTCTGGGCCTCAGTTTCCTATGTGTAAGGGGGAGGCCTTTAACTAAGGCCCCCAACAGCTGACACTCTCTGCCTCTCCAAATGGTACTTCATGAATCCATCCAAGTAAAAGTTGGCTCTATACACACTGCCAGAGAGGCTTTTGGGGGTCACTGAGGTCCTGAACAAGTGAAGGGCAGATGAAGGCAGGGCTGTAGGAGTGAATCTTCTGCAATGTTCAGGGTGGCTGGAAGTCCATCTTGAACCCACTGAAGCAAAGGAATTGGCTTGCAAGGATTCCAATCCCCACTCTGCCACATGACTTGACAAGTTAGTTAACCTGTCTGAGCCTGTTTGCTCATCTGTAAAATGGGGATAAAAATAGTACCTATTTTCTTGGTGTGAGTATATGGGACAATATGTGGGAAGTGTTGAGGAACAGGGTTTGGGCACTATCAGTGATTGATATAAGCAGGTTTTTGTAATAATGTATATAATGGATGTAATGATAAATCTGTGGTAATATAATTTTACCATAAGGTAATAGTCTCCTGTGTGAGGATTTTTTTTTTTTTAATTCTCACCCTAGGACATTTTTCCATTTTTTGTTCAGACAGAGTGGAAGGGAAGGAGAGGAAGAGAGAGAGAGAGAGAGACATTGATGTGAATGGGACACATTGAGCCCTGGCTAGTTTGGCTCAGTGGTTAGAGCACCGGTCTGCGGTCCAGAGAGACCCGGGTTTGGTTCCCACTAAGGGTGCAGTTTGTCCCCGTTGCCCTGGTTGGTTGTGCGGGTGGCAGCCACTCGATGTTTCTCTCTCTTTTCCTCTCTTTCCCTTCCACTCTATCTGAACAAAATGGGAAAATGTCCTCAGGTGAGGATAAAAAAAAAAGAAAGAAAGAAAGAATGGTTGCCCTGGCCCGTTTGGCTCAGCGATTGGAGCATTGGCCTGAGGACCGGAGAGTCCTGGGTTCGGTTCCCGCTAAGGGCATGTACCTCGGATGTAGTTTGTCCTCGGCCCCAGTTGGGGTCGTGTGGGTGGCATCCAGTAGATGTTTCTCTCTCTCTCTTCCCTCTCTCCCTCCTGCTCTATCTGAAGATAAATGCAAAAGTGTCCTGGAGTGAGGATAAAAAAAAAAAAAAGAAGAATAGTCTTTAAGCCCGACTGGTGTGGTTCAGTGGTTGAGCATCAACCCATGCACCAAGAGATCACAGTTCGATTCCCGGTCAGGCTACATGCCCAGGTTGTTGGCCTATGCAGGAGGTGGCCAATCGATGTTCTCTCTCATTGACGTTTCTATCTCTCTCTCTAAAATCAATAAAAGACATAAAATTTTAAGATGGTCTTTAAGAGGAGTTCTTCACTCAGAAAAAACAATGAGCAGAGATTCAAGGAATCCACGGTTCTGTGAAGATGATTAACTCAACTACTTTGGTGAGCTGGAACCTATAGCTTCCAAGGATGGCACTTCACTGGAAGAGACTGGCCAACTCTAGACCAGGAGCACTCCCTTAGTGGTAGAGGAGAAAGAATCTGCGCTCCAGCGGAGGGAGCAGCAGACCTATGAGCGCTAACAGGGACTCAGCTCTGACAGAGGCTCCAAAGTAAACATATGTGTAAACCTGACTACACGACGAGAAAGGGCCTCAAACAAATGGGTACCACTGCGGTCAAGCAGGGAAACCTGGCAGCAGGAAATGGCCTGTTTCTCACTCTGGCAGAAAGGAGGGCTTCCCGGGACTGGCAAGGGTAGTGACGAAGGTGCAGGCACCTGGATTCCATTCATCAAAAGCGCAGTCACCCATCTTCTGGGATCTCTTACCGCCAGGAGATGGAAATGATTTCTCGAGGGCTGACGACTACAGTAAAGTTATTTGCATCGGGCTTTCTCCACCTCTGGCCCCTTTACAAGCCGCTCAGGCCTGCGGCTGGGAATGCTGGTCCGGACCCGAAAGGGAAGCCGGAGGCAGCCGCCCGACCCAGAGCGCCCGACCCTTGCGTGCCCGACTTCACAGGAGAGTCCTGGAGTGTCTGGACCTTCGGGGATCGGGGTGCTGTTCTGGAGCGCGGGCGCCCCCGCGAGCTGGACTCGGTGGAGACGGCGTAGAGCAGCCTCCAGGGGTGTGGCTGGGGGCAGGGTGCTCTTGGGCCTCATCCTCTCTGGGGACCAGGCTGCGGAGGAAGGGCCGCAGGACAGGTGCCCCGGAAGCTGGGCTGGGAAGCGCCGTCTAAGGCGCTTGGGCGTGGGCTGGGCCGGCGGCGCTGGGGTTAATGTCCACCCCGCCCCAGCAGCGCTGACTCAGTTTCACCAGAAACTAGGGGGAGGAGATGGCCGAACTCCAGAGCACCCCGCAGCTGGGCGGAAGCGGCGGCCGGAGCCGCGCCGGAAGCCGGGACCGGAACCTCTGCAGCCCCAGCCCCACCCCACTCACCTGCGCAGGTAACCGGGGCCCCGGAGGTGGAGCGGGTTCGGAGCATGTTTGGCCCTTTGTTCCGCGCTCGTGCGTGTGTCCGGGTACGTGACCTCCTGAGCCGTCATCCGGCCGTGGGTCTGGCGGCCGGGTGTCCCGGGGTGCTCCGTGCTTCCCAGCCCTCCCTTTCACTTCCTCCGGCCAGACCGCCTCCCTTCGGGTCTCCCCGGCGGATCCGGTTCCCCGCTGATCCAGGGGGCCCTCACCTCCGTCTCCTCCCCTCTCTCAGGTCGCCGGCACCCTTGGAGCCCAGAGGCCAGCACTGTGAAGGTGACCCCCGCGGGCAGGAGGGCGACGGCCCCTGGGAGGACGATGGCTGGCAGCCCCCTCTCCCAGACTCGCATCCCAGCGGTCGCCCTGTGGCTCCTGTATGCGCTCGGCCTCCGGGGCACCTACGCCGGGCTGCCGCCCACGCCCCCCGCGCTGCCGGCTGGAGCCGCCTGCCTGGACCGCTTCACCTCGGGGGTGCCCGCTTTCGTGCTGGACACCGACGCCTCGGTCAGCAACGGGGCCACCTTCCTGGGCTCCCCCGCCGTGCGCCGCGGCCGGGACTGCGTGCGCGCCTGCTGCACCACCCAGAACTGCAACCTGGCGCTGGTGGAGCTGCAGCCCGACGGCGGGGAGGATGCCGTCGCCGCCTGTTTTCTCATCAACTGCCTCTATGAGCAGAACTTTGTGTGCAAGTTCGCGCCCAGGGAGGGCTTCGTCAACTACCTCACAAGGGAGGTTTACCGCTCCTACCGCGAGCTGCGGACCCAGGGCTTTGGAGGTAAGACGGGGGTGCGGGGATAGATGGATTTGGGGGACTCAGAAAAGGGGTAGGTTATGGAGGCCCGGAAGAGTCATGTTTCAGAAAGGGGTTAATGAGAAGAGTCCCATTCTACCCCAACTCCTCCTTTAGAAGTAGTCAGTATAAACAGTAAACAAAGGACAGGCCAGGTGAGTGAGGAGGGGTGACATCCTAAAGCCCACACTCACTCCTGAACTCAGGGTGTTGTTCAGTGGGCTGGTGCCCTGGGATGTGTGTCTGTGGTGGAGGAGGCAGCTCCTCAGGATTCTGGACTTCCGGCCCTGATATGCTGCTGAGTCAAGGGAGTGAGCTGTCTGGAGGTCGACTGGTGACTGGCACTCCCTGGGCCAGACACCCCCTGGCCAAGCACAGTCCAAGGCACTTTGAGGCTCTCTGTCAAGTGAGCCTGGTGAAGGAGCTTCCTCCACTTAAGGGATTGGGGTTGATTAGCACCTCTGCACCCCTCCCCCCACCTATTGGCCTTTGGTGGCCTGGGGAAAACTGCCAGACCTCAGACACTAAAGAACAAGTCTAGTCTGGGGTTGACCCTAAAGGGGAGGGGGTCGTGTTGTGGGCACAGTAGTCAGAGGCTCTGGGGTGGGGGTGAGAAGGGTTGTGGGTGAGTCAGTTCACCAGTATGTATACTTGGTTAGGGAGGGATGTCAGCTGTTCAGGCAGGTGTGTGTGTGTGCGTGAGCCAGGCAGGGCTCTCTCTCCCTGCCTTAGAATCTGGTAGCCAACCTGTCTGCTCACTTTGTTTACTTCCAGGGATGAGGGCAAAGTGGGGGCCAGGGCTCCTCCTCTTTCCTCCTGGGACTGAGCAATTAGCTAGGATCAGGGCTCCTCCAGAGACCTTCGTTCCCCATTCTCTCTACCTGCTGTTCTGGCCAGGTGGGGCTCCAGGGCTGGGATGGGTCACAGCTGATAACCTCTGTTAGCATATTACAGTTTTCTGATTGCTGTACCATTCAACCTCTCACTGAGGCCTCATGACAACCACCTTTAAAAAGGGTGCTATTAGTAGTCATTCCACTTTTCAGATTGGGAAACTGACTCCCATGTAAAGAATTTGTCCATAAATGGTAGACCTGGAACTTAACCCTAGACAGGACCTCCAAAAGTCCTGTGCTGTTTTTCACATAAGACCACCTTGCTGGAAGAAGCTTGTCTCTGATCCAAGACAGCCCAGCCAGTAACAGAGCCAGAACCCAATGACCAGGACTGGGCTGGGGCTGAGTCTGGGGGTGGTCTCAATTCTGGAAAGTAGAGAGGGACAGTCCTCTTCAGCCCTTTTCTGGCTACTCTCTCTCCCAGGTTAAGGGCCCACTCTTCTCCCTATCCTTCAAGGAGCTCTCCTGGTCTCTGGGATGAGGATTCCAGGAGTGAGCACCATCTCTGGGCCAGGCTGGGCTACCGAATCCCACTGGGCCAGGGCCTGAGCCTGTTCCACAAGGAAGTAGCAGAGAGTGTAGGTGGTGATGACTCTAATTGCCTGTGCCCTTCCTGCACTGACAGTGGCCCCTTGGGATTCCCACTCCCAGGCCAGTGCCTGAAACTCTGGGGTCTGGTCAAGGAGCTGAACTGGATGGGATGACATGATCTTGGAACCAGCCTTCCTCATCTGGAAACCTGCCCACCCCCAGACTGGCCTGTTTAGCACAAGACAGGATGGAGTGGGGATTTCCTGGGCACTTAGGGAACTGGGTAGGGCTTGGACTGAGTGTGAGCTCCAGGCCATTTTCAGAGTGCTGTAGCGCTGTGAGGAGTGGGGGAAGCTGTATGAAGTCAAGGAACCCATTCTCAGCTGAGTTCAGCTAGAGAGTTTGGAGGTGGATAAGAGCAGGATAAAGCCATTATGTCAGGCAAAGTGGGCAGGGCAGGTGCTTAGGACTTCTAATCCTTTGATTTTTATATTAGGTAGAGAAATCCTCCCCAGGGTGGGTTTGTTTGTTCCTCTTTCCCTGCCTGTGGCCAGGCTAGTCCAGTCCAGATTCCTGTGGCCTCCTGAGCACCCTGTTCCTTCTTCTTCTTCTGCCCTCTCCCCCTTTCCGCTGGAGGAGTGGCTCAGGAGGTGGAGTCAGTGTCTGCCTGGAGGTGTCCTGGGGCTGACAGCTGGAGGAGGGGTTGGCTTTATTACCACTCTGGCCCTTTGCTCTCTTGGGGATGAGAAGAAGGGAGTGGTAGGGCAGGTCACCTGTCCCTTGCTCCTGGGCACTGGGGCTTGGAGACAACCAGCTGTGTGGGGGTGGACACTGCTGATTCGGCCCAAAGTCTGACACATCACACTCTGCCTGCCACTTCCACCTTGGGTGCCGATGGGGCTAGCCTGTCTGTCTGCTAGGTAGACTGCCAAGTAGTCTGTCTTTTTCCCCTTTCAGATAGCTGATTACTTTCAGAAAAATGCAAGGAGGGAAGACCAGGCTCCTCCCAGTCATTGCCCGCTTCACTTTGTCTCTCAGATGTTGTTACCTCAGGGCTGGCCCCTGTTGGTCGGGCTTCTGATTTCCAGCCAAGCTACTGGGCTGGAGAGGCAGTGGGGAGGAGGGGGGTGGTTCCAGACAAATACTTTCCTTTCCTGCTCTCCTGGTTTTATTTCCCAACTCCTGGAACCCACATTGCCTTTTCTCATTCTTATAGGCCTCAGCACCATTTGACATGTTTCTCTATGGAAGCTCTCCCCTCCCATCTCTTTGCTGTCCCCGGTGTCCTGGTCTTCTCACCTCTGTCTGTAACCACCCTCTGTGAGTCCCCCATTGCCTCTGCTTTCTCTGCCTCATCAAAGAGGAATCCCTGTGACTCAGCCTCCAGCCACCACCTGTTCTCATTTCTTAACCTTCTTTTCTTCCTTTGAACTCCCTCTTACATTGGACATGCCCTCTTTAGAGCCTCTGTGGGGGGTAGTGTGGCAATATCCATCAAAGCTGTAAATGCATATTACCTGCAACACAATTCCACTGGTAGGAATTCATTTTGTAGCTATACTTATGCATGTGTAGCACCACTTACCAGGCAGTTCTTCACCGGAGTATCACTTAGCAAGGAATGGGAAAGATCACTGATGTCTGATGTCTGATGTGGTGATATTTTAACATAATAATAAACCCCGAGGAAGCATGGTTTCATTGTTAGTAAAGAACAAAGGAAGGGAATGAGGGAGGGAGAGAAAACTAAATCAAGAGGAGATTGGTAGACTGGTTAAATAAGTTGTAAATTATGGTGTATTTATACAACAAGTACTGTGCAACAAAAAAACAAAGAAAGAAAAAGAAAAGACACTCTATGTTGCATGCTTATGAGTTCAATACTATCTCTGTTGGTAGTCACACACACATAAACAAAGAGTAGATGACTCTGGAAAGAGGAACTTGGGGGTTAAGGAGAAGAGGGAACTTAATTCTCACTACCCTTTTGTACTTTTTGAATTTTATATCATGTACATGTGTTATCTAAACAAACAAACAAAAACCCCCAAGATTATAAAAGCCATCAAAAATATACCTCTAAGCAAGTGGAGGCCTGCAGCATGGTATTTTGGAGAGAGAATGGGCTATGGTGTCAGACAGAGCAGGGTTCAAATCCCAGCTCTGCCATCTAGAAACTGAGTGACCCTGGACAACTCATGTGACCTCTCTGGTGCAAATTTTCTCCTTTGGAAGGAGAGATGAGAATGCAGTTGTGGCAGGTATTTAGGAAGGCAGGGGATACAGATCCGGGGTGAACAAACTTTCTATAACGCTTCAAATCGTAAATATTTTAGGCTTTGTGGACCATAGGCTCTGTGGCAACCACTCAGTTCTGCTGTTTGAGGCAAAAGCAGCCATCCACACTCTGTAACTGAATAGGTGAGGTGGGTTCTGACACAAATTTGAATTTGATGTACTTTTCACATGTCACAAAATGTTATCCTTTTGATTTTTAAAAAAATCCTCACCAGAGGGTATTTTTCCATTGATTTTTAGATAGAGTGGGAGGGAGAAAGAGAGAGAGAGAAAGGGAAGCACCTGTGTGAGAGAGACAGACACATTGATTGGTTGCCTCCCGCATGACCCCAACAGGCTGGGGATTGAACCTGCAACTGAAGTACATCGAACCCTTGACTCTTCAGTCCGTGGACTGATGCTCTAACTGCGGAGCCACACCTGCCAGGGTTCTTTTGATTTTTTTCAACCATTTGAAAATATACTAGGTGATGGGCTGGATTTGGTCTGCAGACCTCATTTGCCCCCTGTTGCAGATGATGCAGGTAAAGTACCCAGTGTTGTGCCAAGTACACATCCAACAAATGGCAGCTTTGTAAACAATAATGACTCCAGATGTTTCCAACCCTGGCCTCTCTGGAGCTCCCAATGTGTACCTCCCCTCTGGATGTTCTTACCTTTCTCGAATTTAAATTCTGTGACTGAACTCACACATTTCCTTTAGATCTGGTTTCCCTTCTGCCTGTGCCCTGCCTCTTCCTCCCCAGTTCCCAGCATTTGTCAGACACGCAAGCCTGAAGCATCTGCCCAGCGTCGTGACTGATATCCTCTTTTCCATTCCCTCAGCTGTCCTTTAATTCAGACCCCTCTCATTGCATCTGCCCTGACCCACTGCACAGATCCGCTCTCCAGCCTCCTTGGTTCCATAGAAATAATTACAGACCGGTGGTATACAGAGCCCCTGCTCCCCAGCCCCTCAGTCCCTGCCTTAGTGCTCCTGAACCTCCATCATGCATCTAGAAGGTCATTGTCTCCTGCAGCCAAGCTTTCTAGAACTTTGCACCACTTATCACGGCCAGTGTCCCCTTCCTGTACCACCGGTTGTTAAACATTCGAATGTCACTCCTCATGTGTCCACGTGCCCTGGCCCAGCATTCATTGCCCTTTCAGTTCTGTCCAGGCAGTTGGTCTTCTTAATGTCTCCATACCAGCCTTGTAAACGCCCATCCACTTTCTTGTCCTGAACACGCACCGCCTATCGCTTCATCTTGTTGGGTCTTTTCTCCCACATTGCTGCATGTTGTTGGGACACATCTGCCTAACTGGGCTATAATCCCCTCAAGGACAGTACTAATTTTCTGTGACCGCTGTAACAAAATATTACAAACTGGGTGACTTAAAACACAGAAAATTCTTGTCTCTCAGTTCTGGAGGCTGGAAATGCGAGATCAAGGTGTTGGCAGGGCTCTGCGCTCTCTGACAACCCTAGAAGAGAATCCATCTTTGCCTCTTCCAGTTCCTGGTGGCTCCAGGGCTTCCTTGGCTTGTGGCTGGATAACTCTAATCTCTGCTCCTGTCTTCAGTCTTTTCTTCCTTTAGTCTATCCTTCTATTTTTATTATTATTATTTTTCTTTATTGATTTTAGAGAGAGAGGAAGTGAAAGGGAGAGAGAGCTAGAAACATTGATGAGAGAGAACATCGATTGGCCGCCTCCTGCATGCCCCCCACTGGGGATCGGGCCCACAACCTGGGCATGTGCCCTGACCAGGAATCGAACCGGCGACCTTTTGGTGCATGGGTTGACACTCAACCACTGGGCCAGACTGGCCAGACTATCCTATCTTTTATAAAGATATCTGTCGCCTAGCTGGTGTGGCTCAGTCCTCCTGTGGACTGGGGGGTCCTGGTTTGATTCCTGGTCAGGGCACATGCCCCGTTGCACATGGCCAGTAGGGGGCGTGCAGAAAGCAGCCAATCCATGTTTTTAACATTGATGTTTCTATCTTTCTCTCCCTTCCTCTCTCTCTAAAATCAATTAAAACATATTTAATAATAATAATTTTAAAAAGACACTCATCATTGGCTTTAGCACCTACCCAGCTAATCCAGGATGATCTCACGTGGAAATGCTTAACTTGATCTTAACTTGATTACTTCTGCAAAGACCCTTTTTCCAAATAAGTTCACATTCATGAGTTCTGGAGGTTAGACATGAACGTATAATTTGGGAGACCAACATTCAAACCACTGGCAGGATCCTGCTTTGTGCTTGTTTCTCTCTCCAGCCCCTCTAACCAGAGACTGGAGAAGCCTCAGGCAGACACTGTCAGGTTGAGGGGGGGCGTGGTTCCCTTCGGCCCTCTCACAACTGGAAGCAGGGTCTGTCAGGGGTGGCAAAGGCACCCTCTTCCTGTGGTCCCTCTCCCTGGGACACCAAGACTTACCACGTTTCTGTCAGCAGCAGAGAGCAGAGAGGGGTGATGGGTGTTAATTTCATATTTACTTATGTGGCTTTTCAGAAATATGTTTACCTTTTTTTAAGCAATTAGCACAAGGCTTACTTACTGTAGAAGAGAGGAATAAGCCTGCCCTAAAATATATATTTTTTCTAAATGGGATCAGATGGCACATGCTATATAGTAATTTGTTTCAGAAAGTGAGTCTCACAACATAAAAATGTCTTTAATATCAAGATATAACATATATATAAATAGAGAGCAAGAAAATCGTTTAGCTGTGTGTTCCTACCTACGCCCCATGCTGGCTGCTGAGTTCCAGGTTGGTCTAGTGCAGCCCATTTAGCTCCCCACCCCCAGGAGAGATCTGGTCCTTTCAGTGAGAGCTGACCTTGCCTCACCTTTCCCCCAGGGTCCCGGATTCCCAAGATCTGGGCAGGCATAGACTTGAAGATACAGCCTCAGGAACCCCTGGTACTGACGGGTGTGGAGAACACAAATTGGCACCTACTGCGGGATGACCCGGATGTCAGGGTAGAGGTGAGACACTGGTATCTGGTTCCCTGATTCCATCTCAGCTCTCCAGGGCCCCCTTTCTTTCTGGGGCCATAGGCCAAGGTGGATAGAAGCTGAGGACACATTTAATGGCAAGTCCCTCTGTTCTCTCTGGGGGGTTGTGTGGCTGGGAGGGCCTGAATTAGCCCAAGGGCATCAGGGGGTCCCAGCCTAATGACCACTCCTCCGTATAGAGGAATGGTCCGGACCAGGTGGAGCTATGGGGACTCAAGGAAGGAACCTACCCGTTCCAGCTGACATTGGACAGCTCAGACCAGCCAGAGAGCATGGCCAACATCACAGTCACCGTTCTCTCCTCCAAGCAGACAGAAGGTGAGGGAGGGGGTGGAGAGACAGCATGGAGACACCCCCCTCTGTGGATTGGCCCTGCAGGCTCCCCTCACAAGCTTTTCTCCCCCCAGAATATTGCCTTGTGACCAAAAAGGTGGGTCGCTGCCGTGGTTCCTTCCCCCGCTGGTACTACGACCCCAAAGAACAGATCTGCAAGAGCTTCGTTTATGGAGGTTGCTTGGGCAACAAGAACAATTACCTTCGGGAGGAAGAGTGCAAGCTAGCCTGCCGCGATGTACAAGGTGGGCCTTTGCACAGCAGCTTTGGGAATCAGGTGATTTTCCCTCAAGGTGGGTAGTCTTTCTTCACCAGTCAGGGAGGTGGGCATGAGAGCCCTGCATCCCCAGGCCCCTCATTAGCTCATCCCTGCTGGGGCCTGGCCCTGTCTCCTCTGATTTTTCTGTTTTCTTTTTCCCAGGTCCCTCCAAGGAAAGGCATGATCCAGGTGGGCTTTGTTCCTTTCCCTGTTCCCCTCATCCCTGCCGTATCTCCAGCCATATCATGCCCATGCCCTGGACCAAGTTGCCTTTGCCCAACCCATTCCTGCCCTCATAGTATGTGGACAGACCACAAGCACCCCACCCCGTGCAGCCTAGCATCCTCCTGTCAGGATCTGCCCAGTTTGTGTGTAGAAGGGTTCATGGGGGACAGATGGGGAAGTAGGGGACGTGTCAAGATGAGCTGGGGTAGACAGGGCCAGGTAGATGATGGACCCTGGTACTTGCTGGCCTCCGCTGGAGCATGACCTCCCCCCTCCCCCCATTTCACCCCCACTCAGTGTGCTCTGGCACCTGTCACTCCACCGAGTTCCAGTGCAGTGACGGCTGCTGCATCGACAGCTTTTTGGAGTGTGACGGCACCCCTGACTGCCCCGATGCCTCCGATGAGGCCATCTGTGACAAATGTGAGGCCTGGGAGGTGGAGGGGTGGTGGGCAGCAGAGGGGGAGGGCCTGCCCATTCACCCTGCACCCCTAGGGAACCGCTGTGGGCCTGGGCCTCTGATCTTGCATCTTTGCAGACACCAGAGGCTTCGAGGAGCTCCAGAACTTCCACTTCCCCAGTGACAAAGGTGAGATCCCCACCTCTGGGTGAGGGCGGGTGCTGGCACTGCCAGCCTCACTCATCCTGCCACCGTGCTGCAGGGTCTGCTGTGTGCGCCCAGCTGCGGCTGGAAAGGCCGCGCTCCCAGCCTCTTCTCCGGCTCTGTGTCCCGCACAGTCAGCCTCTTACCACCTTCAGAAATGTAGCCATGCCCACGAAGTACTGAGATGGTATTTACTTAATATTTTTTTTATTAATCGATTACTCTTTTAATTTAATATATTCAAAAGGAAATTTCACCTCACTACCATAAATGGAAATTCACTATTGCACGCCACAACTTGAGCTATATAAAACAACGTTAATAAATTTTCGCTGGACAGGGGTGCCTGCCAAGGCTTAGACCCTGACCGCTGTTGTTAAAAGGTGGACCATCAGTGCTAGAAAGAAAACCAGGACCTTGCCCTGGCCAGTTTGGCTCAGCGGTTAGAGCGTCGGCCTGCGGTCCGGAGAGACCCGGGTTCGGTTCCCGCTAAGCGCACGTACTTCGGTTGCAGTTTGTCCCTGGCCCTGGTTGGTCGTGCGGGTGGCAGCCACTCGATGTGTCCCTTCACATCGATGTTTCTCTCTCTCTCCCTTCCTCTCTCTCCCTCCCACTCTATCTGTACAAAAAAAAATGGAAAAATATCCTCGGGTGAAGATAAAAACAAAAAAACAAAACAAAAAAAAACAAAAAGAAAACCAGGACCGTGACACAATCAGAAAAGCTGAAAGAATATAGAAAAATAAATAGTTGCGTCCTGGCCGGTTTGGCTAAGTGATTAGAGTGTCGGCTCGCAGACCAGAGTCTCGGGTTTGACTCCAGTCAAGGGCACGTACCTCAGTTGCGGTTCGTCCCCAGCCCTGGTCAGGTCCTGTGGAAGGCAACCAGTTGATGTGTCTCTCTCAGGTCGATGTTTCTCTCTCCCTCCCTCCCACTCTATCTGAGATAAAATGAAAAAATATCCTGGGGTGAGGATTTTTCTTTTATCCTCACCCAAGGACATTTTCCCATTTTTTGTTCAGATAGAGAGGGAGAGAGAGAGAGAAACATCGACGTGAAAGGTACACGTCGAGTGGCTGCCACCCACACAACCCAACCAGGGCCGGGGACAAACCGCAACCAAGGTACGTGCCCTTAGCGGGAGCCGAACCTGGGTCTCTCTGGACCGCAGGCCGACGCTCTAACCACTGAACCAAACCAGCCAGGGCTGGGGTGAGGATTTAAAAAAGAAATAGTTGTGTGAGTCAGGGTAGTTTACTTCTGTGCCTAAGATTATTGTCCAGTATTTGTCTTTCTTGCTTCTGGCAGTACTGAGAATGGGCCACATGTTTCTGGGGCCCTTGAGGTCTTCACTGAACCACAGCCTTCCTCAGTGTGCTGTAGGTTGAGAGGTGGCAGACAGCAGTCACGTGGAGCCTGATAGATGGTAGCAGGGAGGCCCCGTGGATTTGCTCACCCCTTTGACTGCTCCTCACCCCCCAGGGCACTGCGTGGACCTGCCAGACACGGGCCTCTGCAAGGAGAACATCCCACGCTGGTACTATAACCCCTTCAGCGAACACTGCGCCCGCTTTACCTATGGTGGTTGTTATGGCAACAAGAACAACTTTGAGGAGGAGCAGCAGTGTCTTGAGTCCTGTCGTGGCATCTCCAGTGAGCAGGGCCATGGGGGGATGGAAGATGGGGAGGGGAAAGGCTTAGCTGGAGCATTCTGCTCTGTCTCAAAGCCTGGGCTGGTCACACCGAGTCCTCACCTGAAATGGGGGTGGGAGAGGATGGCAGTGGGGAGTCCAGGGCACTGGGGAGCAACTGAGTGTCAACCCTTAATATTGTCTTGTCTCTCTCCCTTCATTTTGTAGAGAAGGATGTGTTTGGTCTGCGGCGGGAAAGCCCCATTTCCAACGTAGGTAAGCCCCGGTCTGCCCTGTTACCAATGAGGAGTATCAACTCAAGGACCAACTCCACACGATTGGTTGTGACTGCTTAAACTTGTGTTGAGAAGGATCCTGAGGTTGGCTGGAGGGACAGTGTCACAAGCAGCAGTGATACCTACCACAGCAGGGGAGGGAAGCACAGTAAAGTGCATGCTTGATGTTTGCTGTCAGTCTCAGGCCTTTGTCCAAGCTACCTGCAAGTAGAGCCACCTGGAGCTGAGACCCAAGGCCCACTGGGATCTGTCCCGCTGAGCTCCCAACAGAGCCATTCAGTTGCTCATGTGCAGGAGGTCCTTCCACATCTGGCATCCATTTGACCTTCCCTTTGACACAGAGTGGGGTGTGGACAGCAGAACCGAGAAGGCCCCAGCAGCTCTTCATTCTACCCTTTCTTCCCCCAGGCTCCGCAGAGGTGACCATTGCAGTGTTCCTGGTCGCCTGTATCGTGGTGGTGGTAAGCATCCTGGGGTACTGCTTCTTCAAGAACCAGAGAAAGGGCTTCCACAGATACCACCACAGCCACGAGCACCCTCCACCTCCTACCCCCGCCAGCTCCACCGTCTCCACCACCGACGACACAGAGCACCTGGTCTATAACCACACCACCCAACCCCTCTGAGCCTGGGGCTGCCTTGGCCTTTTGGCCTGGGCCTCTCACAGGCTCTCTCCAGCTCTCCTCCAACTTTCGCCAGGTCCTGCTTCCTCCTTGCCAAGAAGGAGGCCTGGGCGGGGAAAGACTTTGGGACCAGACCCTTCCTGCCTGGTTCTCAGGCCCCTCTGCCCCAGAGGCCAGGGCTCCAGCCCCCGTCAGAGATGTCTTAGCTCAGCTCAGGCCACTTGTTCCTGAGAAACCTCCAGTGTCTGGGGGAAAGAAAGCTTTTGGGCCAGGAGTCCCACACAGAGACGAGCCTGCTTGCCTTGGATTTCAGAGGAAGCCGGAGGTTTGTGTCCTATTCAAAGCTGCCTGCCCCATACCATGGTGTTGGGAAGGGGCCTGGGCAGTGTCCGAAGCTGGAGGCCCCAGCCCTGTCCTCCAGAGCTCCCCTCCCACTCTGCACAGTCCAGAGCGGGGATACGGACCTCTCTATGTATGTTGTGCTGTACAGAGTTGCTTTTTGTTTATTTAATGCCATGGATGTGGATGAGAGGAGTGGAAAGTGGCTATCTGGCCTCTGCTGTCTTTTCCCCCAAGAGTGAGCCCCAACTTGGCCTGACCTCACACATGGAGCCAGAGCTTCCATCCTCTCTGCACCCCCCAGGGCCCTCCAGCACCACCCTCTCCCCTCTGCTCCCCCACTTCCCACAGGCCCCAGTCCACCCACAGTGTAATAAAATGGTTTGTTCTGAGGGTTCTGCCTCTGCTCTGTGGGCCAGGAGAGGGAAAGGGCTGCTGGGGGGAGAGGTGACCGCCCAGTCCAACCGGTTCAGGCTCTGGCCACCCTGTTTAGCAGGTTTTCCCACCCTTCCCGAAACTGCCCCAGCCCCTGAGGGTGGAGAGAAGTGCCAAGTTTGACCACCAGAAGGGAGGGGTGGGAAAGCATGGGAGTAGGGGGCCCAGGGAAGCTGCAATGCGGCTGTGTAGTATTTCTTCCTGGTTTGATCCTGGCAACAAGCCTGTTTCATAGTTGGGGCAAGTCTTCACTGCAGCATGTAGTTGAAGACAGGGAGGGGGGCACACAGATTTGAGCCCTGGTTCTTATCTTCACTCCCTTTGGTGTGGGGACTAGGCACAGGGGTCCCTTCTGGCCCACCCAGATCACCACTGTCTCCCTCCCCTCCCACAGAAGCCCCGGTTTCACAGGAGTGTAGCGAATCCCCAGACTCTGAACTCCTACAGGAGCCTTTAGTTGAGGTACTCCATTCCCACCCACACCCATCCCTTTGTTTGAGCCACATCTTGGTGAAAAAAAAAAAAAAAATCATGCTTTTATTTCTTCATTTATTCAACAAATTATTGAGCTATGTGCTGGATACTGCCAATCAGTAGAAATTCAGTCTTGCCCGGCCGCTGTGGCTCTGGTTGAGCATCAGCCCATGCACCAAGAGGTCACCAGTTCAATTCCTGATTAGGGCACATGCCCAGGTTGTGGGCCCGATCCCCAGTGGGGGGCATGCAGGAGGCGGCCAATCGATGTTCTCTCTCATCAATGTTTCTAGCTCTCTCTCCCTACTCTCTCTCTAAAATCAATAAAGAAAAAAAATTTTAAAAACAAAAAAAGGAATTCAGTCTTGTCAAGATAAAAGCACAGCCCTGGCCGGTTTTGCTCAGCGGTTAGAGCGTCGGCCTGCGGTCCAGAGAGACCCGGGTTCAGTTCCTGCTAAGGGCATGTGCCTTGGTCACAGTTTGTCCCCGGTCCTGGTTGGGTGGTGCGGGTGGCAACCACTCGATGTGTCCCTTTCACGTCGATGTTTCATTCTCTCTCTCCCTTGCACTCCATCTGAACAAAATATGGAAAAATGTCCTCGGGTGAGGATTAAAAAAAAAAAAGATAAAAGCACATACAAAGCTATGTAAATGCTTTACATATCTCAAGTTATTGTCTTGGCACACAACCCTGTGATGAAGGTCCTATAATCCCCATTTTACAGATGAGGAAACTGACAACAAATTTCTCAAAGTCTTAGAGCTGGTACAGGGAGACTGGACTTAACCCTAACTACAACTCCAGAGTCTAGTCTTACAAAAGAGAGACTTGGATTGTGATAAGTGCTGTACAGGAAAAAAATGTCAATGTGAGAGGTTAGGGGCTAATTTTAAACAACTGGAGTGTAACTCAGGTGAATATGCATAAGTCATAAGTGTACAGCTCAATGAATTTCCAAAACTGCACACACCCAGAAGACAAACACCCAGATCAAGAAGCAGAGGGTTGCCTGGCTGGTGTGGCTCAGTGGTTGAGTGTTGACCCATGTACCAAGAGGTCACTGGTTAGATTCCCGGTCAGGACACACGCCCAAGTTGTGAGCCAAATCCCCAATGGGGGCATGCTGGAGGCGACCAATTGATGTTCTCTCTCATTGATGTTTCCATCTCTCCTCCCTGCCTCTCTCTCTAAAATCAATAAAGAAAAAGAAATTTTTTTAAAAAAAGAAGCAGAGGGTCCTAGCACCCCAGGATGGGCCTTTTGATGGGTAACTTTCATACCTCTATGTTTTTGTGCCTATTGTTCTCAGCCTGGACCACCTCCCCACTTCTCAACTTTCAGCCTAAACTCAAGTTCTTATTCCTGAAATCCTCCTACACACACCCAAGTGGGTGGTACTCCCTACTTCACACCCCTGTGTTTGCTAACAGGACCCTGAGCACAGAGCACCCTCTTTTCCTTTCGGTTACTTACCTCTCTTCCTGCAGGGTTGAACTGGAGACAGATGGCATCTTATTCATCTCTGAGTTTCCCCATACTCCAAGACCTTAGTAAATGTAGTGGTTCCCCTAAGTGTTCAATAGATGGCAGGGAGTTGGGCTCATTACCCTGCTTTGGCTCTTCCCATTCATGGGGCACCGAATTTTTGCTTCCTAATTTGCCAGCCACTCATCCATCCTTTAAGGCTTAAAATGGGCTTGCTCCCTTTTCTGGTGCCCCCAGCATTAGTCAACTCCCATCATCCATTGGTTCTCTGTGCTGAGGTGATTAATGACTTATTAAAGTCTGTATCCCAATGCCTAGAACAGTGATCAATACAGAATATATGTTTAATAAGTTTGTTGGACCGAAGGGAACATCCTCCTCTCAGGGAAGGGTAGAGATGAAGTGAGGCCATGCCAGGCAAAGCACCATCCTAGTAAGAACCACTGGGATGGAGGGAGGGCACGCCTGGGTCAGCCAGGCGGCAGGAGGTGAGATCACGCAGGGGCCACTAGGGGGCGCGCTTGCCGCTGCTGGGCACTTTTTGCTGCAAGGATTTGTGCAGAGAACACAGTCCCAGGCAGGGGTCAGGTGTGAAGCTATGAAAACTGGGATGCCCTCCTTGCTCTCCTGGAGTTACACTCTGGAGTACAGGCAGAAGAGATGCAAACACTGTAATGCAACAATTTGGTTCCCAAATTGTTCCTTGACTCTGTGACTTTTCCAGCTGTCCTTTGTCCATCCCCACCCAAATGACTCCTTTCTCAGAATCTTTTTTTTTTTTAATCCTCACCTGAGGACATTTTTTTTTTTTTTGCATTTACCTTCAGACAGAGCGGGAGGGAGAGAGAGAGAGAGAGAGAAACATCGACATGAGAGAGACACAGTGGGTGGTTGCCACCCACATGCAGGGGACAAACTCCAATCGAGGCACATGCCCCCAGTGGGAACCGAACCCGGGACTCTCCAGTCCGCAGGCCAATGCTCAAACTGCTGAGCCATACTGGCCAGGGCCTGTCTCAGAATCTCATTCCTCCATTTCTTTGCGCAGAATTTCATGCCTCCATTTCTTTGCAAATGCCTCTTTGTCTCTGGAAAGCTCCTACTTACCCTGTTATCCAACTCAAAAAGCCTTCCCTGTTTCCCCAGGCAGAATTCACCCCTGCCCTCCATTCTGTCATGCTCTGCTGAGTACACCCCACCATCTAGTGTATGTCTGCCTTATGTGGGCCAGACTTCTCAGGGCAGGAATGGGGTCGTATTTATCTCAGTATCCCCCATGCTTATGGATATGAGCTATCTGGCAAATAGCTGTGGAAGAGAGCAGAAGCTGGTTAAGCCATGGAGATTAAGAAGAAGGTTGAGCCCAGCTTGTGTGGCTCAGTGGTTGAGCGTCAACCCATGCACCAAGAGATTGCCAGTTCAATTTCCAATTAGGGAACATGCTCAAGTTATGGGCCCAGTCCCCAGTGGGGGGCATGCAGGAGGCGGCCCATCAATGTTCTCTCTCATCAATGTCTCTCTCTCTCCCTCTCCCTTTCTCTCTCTAAAATTAAAACATAAAAATGAAGAAGGTTGACTTTCCCTGGCCGGTTTGCCTGAGCGGTTAGAACATTGGCCCTTGGATGCTCAGCTCCCAGTCAGGGTCGTGCGAGAGGCAACCAATCCGTGTTTCTCTCTGAAATCAATGTTTCGCTCTCTCCCTCCTTCCCTTCCACTCTATCTAAAATAAAATCAATGGGAAAATAGACTAGGGTAAAGATTAACGAAGAAGAAGAAGAAGAAGAAGAAGAAGAAGAAGAAGAAGAAGAAGAAGAAGAAGAAGAAGAAGAAGAAGAAGAAGAAAAAAGAGGAGGAGGAGGAGGAGGAAGAGGAAGAGGAGAAGGAGGTTAACTTGACTTGGGGTGGTAAACACACAATATGATATACAGATAATGTATTGTAGAATTATATACTTAAAACCTATAAGTTTTATTAACCAATATCACCACAATAAATTCAATAAATAAATAAATAAAAAGAAGGAGGTTGGGGCTTCATGGAGGAGATATAAAATCAGGCTGGCTGATGTGGCTTAGTTGGTTGGAGCATCGTCCCAGGTTTTGGGTTCGATCATCTGTCGGGGAGCATGTGGGAGGCAACTGATCAGTGTTTCTCTCTCACATTGATGCTTCTTTCTCTCTCTCTATCCCTCCCTCCATCTCTCTCTCCTCCTTCCTCTCTCTGAAAATAATCAAAATAAGCAGGTGGGTATGGGTGTGCCAGGCGTAACAAAATCACAGTGAGCAAAAGCTAGGCAGTGGTGATTATGAATCTTGTTTTGTTTGGGAACCAGCAAGCTGCTCAACTTGGCTCAAGCACTGAGAGGGAAAGCTGGGAGGTTGGTGGGTGGAGGCCACATTGATGGGCACTTGGGGATTTGAGCAGGTGAAGTGATGATCGAAACTCAGCTTTAAGAAATGGACAGGCCCTGGCCAGGTAGCTCAGTTGGTAAGAGCATTGTCCTGATATACCAAGGTTGCAGGTTCAATCCCTGGTCAGGACACATATAAGAAGCAACCAATTAATGCATAAATAAATGGAACAAATTGATGTTTCTCTCTTCCTTGTCTCTAAAATAAATAAATATTTTTTTAAAGTTTAACAATAAATAAAAAGAAAAAGAAATGGACAGGTAAGCAGGTCATATCACTAGAGGTCGATCCACAGGGAGAGGGAGGTAACCACACCCAGTAAAGAAGGCAGGGTAACCTTTGTGAAGTACATAGTGGATATACAGTAAAGACTAGCTGAAAGGTTGCATCTGGCAGCCTGTAATCACACTTTGACCCAAACAGTGCTTTCTTTAGTTAGTTACCAACATTTAAAGAGTTAGGAAACTTCATTTTAGAAAATGTATTTCTAGCTCTGGCCGGTTTTCTCAGTGGTTAGAGCATCGGTCTGTGGTCCAGAGAGACCCAGGTTTGGTTACCACTAAAGGCATGTACCTTGGTTGCAGTTTGTTCCCGGCCCTGGTTGGGTCGTGCGGGTGGCAACTACTTGATGTGTTCCTTGCACGTTGATGTTTCTCTCTCTCTCTCTCCTTCCCACTCTATCTGAACGAAAAAAAGAAAAAAAGAAAAGAAAAGAAAAAATGTCCTCGGGTGAGGATAAAAATAAATAAAAAATGTATTTTTAGCCCATCTGGTGTGGCTCACTGGTTGAACGTGGACCCATGCACCAAGAAGTTGCTGGTTTGATTCCCGGTCAGGGCACATGCCCAGGTTGTGGGCCCGATCCTCAGTCGGGGACATGCAGGAGGCAGCCGGTCGATGTTCTCTCTCATCGATGTTTCTATCTCTCTCTTTCTCTCCTTTTCTCCCTCTCTCTAAAATCAATAAAGAAAAAAATATTAAAAATAGATAACTAATGTATTTCTAGCATCTTATGAAAACTTGGGGGACTGGCAATCCAGAACCCACATTTCTGCAGTAATACAGGTGCCAAATTCAGGTCCTCTTGAGCTGGGCAGGC